CGAACGTGTACGTACTCACGATAATTTATTTGTTAAGCAAGCCTAAAGCCTTCTACGAATTAAAAATTATTTTTCCAAAACTAGTTTTGAGATTATTATGAAGGCCATGATTTATAGATATAGAATTTATGAAAGTAGAGTAATCATTACTAAGCATCATTTGATTTTAAAGTATTGCAATTATTCATAAAATAAAAATAAACCTTTCTAATTCACTGGCAGTAAGATAAAAGTTTAAACTGAAAAGGGCCTGATATACCCATCTACTATGACATATTGTTCAATACCGTCCCCCGTTATACTTTCTGATTGTTCAATACCGTCCCCCGTTATACTTTCTATCCCTTAAATCCCTTACCGTCCAACAAAGTTTTATATATTCCCCAATTTTAACGGTTGGGACACGTGGCACGCTCTGAGAAGACCAAGAATCACCTACACTAAATAAAACCAACCCGCCCAAATTCCACTGCCCTACCCGCCCGGCTCATAAACCCGACCAACTTAGTAAATACACTAAAATCACTATAAATAACACATAAATAAAAGATCAAAAACTGAGAAAAAGAAATGACAAACGGGATGGGTTCCATTTAGGGTTTCCATCAATGACAAAATTGCGGATATGAGACTCAAAAAGATGAGTTATTTCTTAAAATATTTCATGATTCAGCTAAGTAAAGTGGTGTTTCTGCTAATTTTGTTAAAGAATGTGGGATTTCTACCTAATGTTTTGAGCTAGGGTTTTTTTCTGGAAAAATGTGCATATTTCTATTATTATACATGTTTCCTACTTTGTAATTTGTCGATTTAATGTTATTTTATCGTGCATGTGCATCTTTTGAGGTGGTCCTTTAATTTCTGATTTCTGATGGTCTATTATTGCTTTGAGTTGTGTCTTTTTGCTAGTGTATGATCGAATGGGGTCCATATATACCTTATGTATGTGATTAAGTACATTGGAAAGTGGTAGCTATGCATTCTTTATTGTAATGTTCTGCATTCTTTACTGTTTTTTTCCTAATGTTTTGCTTTCTTTACTATTTTACCCCAATCTTTATTGTTTGATTTCTGAGTTCTTTATTAAGCGGGGTCCATTTTGTATAAAGTATTACTTTATGGTCATAAAGTTTTTACATTGTCTTATTTATGTTTGTAGATGGTTCTTGTTGACCTAGTTTTCAATTATGGGGGTGACTGGATTAAAGAGCCAACCTAGTCTATTCAAAGAAGTTGGTCCACATTTGGAAAGATAAAGATTCTGACCTATTGTCCTTTAAAGATATAGTAGATGACATTCTTCTGTTAGGGTATATGGGGTTCAACAATTAATAATTGCTGGCCCATCTGGTAAGTATTATGAAGTTGAAGGAGATATAGGGATTAGACGACTTTTATGCCTTGTCTATAATGAATTTAAGGTACTAAATGTCTATGCTATAGATGAGTGTGAAGAAACTCTTTGTGTCCCAAACATTGTCAACCATAGTGAGGCTTATATATCTCAAGTATTATTGGTACTGATGATAGTAGTAGTGAAGAAGAAGAGGAAGCTGAAGATCAGGCATGTTCTGATGGTCTGGCCTATGATTCTGAAGAGTTAGAACAATTTGAGGCTCAATGTAAAAAGCATCCTAGTGAAAACCTTAATGAATACAAAGAGATTTACAAAGGCATGTCTTTTAAGGACATTCCTGAAGCTAGAAAGTTCATGAACCTTTATTCATTGGTTAATCAAAAGAAATTAAAGCTGGTGAAAAGTGACAAAATTAGAGTGAGGTATAAGTGTGTATTGGGCTTCCCATTTAAATGTCTTATTTCCATTGAAAAGGGAAATTAGGGGTGTAGAGTGAAGACACTAGATCCAAGACATGACTGTAATCCTGCTTTTGATAACAATAGTGTTAAATATAGCACTATAGCTTACTACTTCAAGAAAAAGTTGCAAGACAACCCTAAGTATAAGGTGAGAGAAATGAGGGCAGACCTGAAGAATTCATTTCAACTTAATGCTAGTAAATCTAAGGTTAAAAGGGCAAAGAGAATGATATTGGAGAAGTTGGAAGGGAGTTTCACTGATGATTATAACAAGCTTGAAGCATATGCCAATGCTTTGAGGGACAGTAATCCTGGAAGTGATGTGGTTATTAATTTATATAAAGAATCATTGTTGCAACACAAAAGAAAATTCCTTAGGATGTACATTTGTTTTCATGCATTGAATATGGGGTACAAAGAGGGATTAAGACCATTTATTGGGCTTGATGGTACATTTTTAAAGGGGAAGGCTAAAGGACAGCTACTAGTTGTTGGGCAAGATAACATGAATCACTTTTATCCACTTGCTTGGGCGGTAGTGGATAGGGAAACAAAAAAAAGATGGACTTGGTTTCTGGAGCTTCTTCACAGTTCAATGGACTTAAATATGGACAATAGAGTCACATTTATGTCAGATATTCAGAAGGTATAACTGTTTCTTTACTGTTTTTTGTCACAATTTTACTGTTTTTACTAACTTTTCTTTACTATTTTTTACTAACTTTTCTTTACTATTTTTTTGTACAGGGATTAATGGAGGCAATAAAGACAGTACTTCCTGAAGCAAAGCATAGGTTATGTGTGAGACATGTAGAGTCAAACTGGTGCAAAGAGTATAGAGGTCTTGAAATAAAATTATTACTTTGGTGGAGTACTTGGGCTACTTATGAAGAAGACTTCAAGGATCAGTTGATCAAGTTAGGATAGTTGAAGGAATTAGTTGTTATAGACCTATTAAAGTACCCACCCCAGAGTTGGTGTAGGGCATACTTTGACACTGTCTGTAAAAATCAAGGTGTAGATAACAATTTTACAAAATCTTTCAATTCTTGGATATTAGAAGCTAGATACAAGCCCATTATCAAGATGTTGGAAGATATAAGACTCAAATTAATGAATCAGTTGAGAAAGCATGAAGATAAGGTGATAACATGGAAGACAAACTACAGCCCTCAAAGCATGAAGCTTTATAATGACTATTTGAAGATAGCTCAATCCATTGAGGTTGATTTCAATGGTGATGATGGGTTTGAAATAGTAGAAGGGGTTGACAAATTCATTGTCAATTTATAGGGAAAAAGATGCACATGTAGAGGATGAGATCTTTTATGGATCCCATGTCCTCTTGCAATAAGATCATGCTTGTATTTAAAGGAAGACCCTTTGAAGGAGATGCATTGGTGGTATAGCAAAGAAGCCTTTCTATTTACATACAAGCATAAGTTACAACCTGTACCTGGTGAGAAATTATAGAAACTAGATCCATCTCAAGCCATGGAACCTCCAGAACTGGTGAAACAAGCTGGCAGGCATAAAGTCAAAAGAGATAGACAAAAGGATGAGGCAATCAAGAGGCAAGAAGAGTGGAGTCAGTCTAGAAAAGGCAGAATAATGACTTGTGGCAATTGTGGAGAGGCAAACCATAATGCAAGGGGATGTAAAAAGGTATAGACCTAATACTTAGCAATGAACTTGTTATTATAATTAATTAATATTAACTATTTCTTTTTTACATTAAACAGCCAATGAATGTGCAGAAAGTGACAAAGAAGAAGCAACCATCAAATGAAAATGATTTGCAGACATCTAGGGCTAAGAAGCTAGCCAAAAGACAAAGGACTTTAATTAATGAAGACACTGATGATGATGAGCAATTGGAAGATATCAATTTATCAGCACCCCAAGTGTCCCAAACAAGTGAAGGTATTGGCAGCAGTCAATTATTTATCTTTATGCCTACTTCAACTCTAGATGCTTCTTTTGATTTTGATGATGGTCCTGAGCCTCCATTAAGACCTAGAATTATATCAAAATCACAAACTAGACTTATGGAAAGACAGAAGGTTGGTATGAACACTAGGACAAGGACAATCAAGTTTACTGGAGATAACATAGGTGTAAGTGAACCCGTTGATCTTCCATACTCCCCAATAAACTTGACATGGAAGGAAAAGGCAACAATCACTGGGAATCAATTGGAGATGCAAACAAGACAAAGAATTGGGAAGTTGAAGACATGAAAGGGGCCTTGATAATCTAATTAGAACTTGTTTTGTTAGTTTGTAGCTAAAGTAAAACTTAAACACTTTGTTTATTTTTGTTGGCATTTGGAGTTGGATGTCTTGTTATGACTAAGGTTGAGTGAGTTTTTGAAGTTATAGTTGTGGCATCCACTTCTCCAATTTGATGTAATAGGCAGAATTATGACTTGTTGAATTACTCTTACTGCCTAGTTTTTGTTACTGTTACTGCCCAGTTTTTTTGCATTACTGTCCAGTTTTTTTGGCCTTGCTGCCTAGTTTTTTTGGCCTTATTACTGTTGTCCTTAAGCAGTTATTGTTGTGTGTGCTACTGCTATCATGCAGCCCAGTTTTATAAGTTTTTTACTGCATTCCTGTTGTGTTATGTATAAGACAATTACATAAGGAATAGTACTGCAGTTTTTTTTGGCCTTGTTACTGCAGTTTTTTTGGCCTTGTTACTATTTTCCTTAAGCAATAGTGCTTCAACTTAGATTAGTACTACCAGTTAGCAATTATCTGTTTAAGATGTTGTGTAGCTTTCTTCTACTTTTTGGCTTTCTTCAACGTATTTTAGCTATGCAAATAGAATTAACCAATAGATTTCAAATTCTATTGAAATGTTTCTGTTGTTCTACTTCCTATTTTTCTAGATGTTTATAGTCAACTACTCTATCTTGTTTGGTTTACCATTTTAAGAAAAAGTTGTTAACTTGTTAGTGTTCACTATTTATGTTCTTTCCATTATGTGGGTTGACTAGTTAACAGTTTAAAAAAGCTTTCTTACAGCAACTCAACTCATATAGTTCTGTTTGGATTTTAGAATCATATATCAGGAGAGCTCAGAATTATCATAAACAACATTCCGATAATCATTTAGTTAACAATTACATTACAATACAAAATCCAACCATTAAACATCTAATTGAAATCCCAACAAGTTCAACATTCCAATATTCAACTGTAAATACAACATTCCCCTTCTACAAACTACTCTCAACATAATTTCACTTCATTATATAGGAGAATGGAAATCCAACTATTAGCGAGCATAAAATTGTGATGATCATCTTCAACTTCACCACTTTTGCTCCCAATTCCATATTTTTTTAACTTCAAAATTCTTCATAGAATCTATGAGTTCAATCTTTTCAGTCAGCCCGTCTCTTTCAACCTTAAGAACTTCCAAAGAACCATTCAATATCTTAATCACGCGATTTGCAGCTTCTAATCTTACATTATTAATTGCAATTAAAGCAGCATCAGGATACTCTTCATCATGCCATTCCCAAAACCCACATCCTTCACTCTACACAAAACACAACAAAATAAATTCAAAGATTGAACACTATAAAGTTGGGAATTGTAACAAGAATCGAAATAGAGAAATAAAAACTACCTCAGGTTTAGGACATTTGTAAAATCTTATACCAGGGTTTAAGAGAGTTTTTGAAGTAAAGTGATTAGCAACGTCCCCACATCGGCAGATCCTCTTCGACGAACAACTATTTTTCGACATTGTACAACAATTTCCGACTAGCTGAATACTTAGCAATGGGAGCGAAGAAGAAGCCCAATAAATTTTGATGTTTTGATTGTGTTTTTATAGTAGGTTTTTTATTTATGGTTTTATCAGAATGGGAATGATGAAGAAGCCCTAGAATTTTGGTGTTTTGTTTGTGTTTTTACGGTGGTTCTTGATTTATGGGTTTATGAGCTTATGAGTTGGGCGGGCGGGGCAGTGGAATTGGGCGGGTTGGTTTTATTTAGTGTAGGTCATTCTTGCTCTTCTCAGAGCGTGCCACGTGTCCCAGCCATTAAAATTGGGGCATATATAAAACTTTTTTAGACAGTAAGGGCTTTAAGGGACGGAAATAATAACGGGGGACGGTATTGAACAATATGTCATAGTAGAGGGGTATATCAGGCCCTTTTCTGAACTTTAAAATATTAAGATTAGACCTAAAAGAAATATTTATACTAAAACAGTGTAGAATTTGGGTGTGGTCAAAAATTAAGTGTTCACAGCATGCCCCTCTTTGCTTGGAAACATGAAGAGTTTTCAGGCAAAGAAAATGAACAAGGTGACTGATTTTTTACCTCACCATTATTTAAAAAGAAAAACAAGATAAAAAAGGATGTGACCGAGCCTTGATTTTTGGCAGCCTACATATTCCGGGTTATAAGGGAATCAGTTCACGTGTAGTTCAAGTGAAAGAAGAGTGATGGAGTATTCTTGGAGGGAGAGTTGAGTGAAGTTCCGTCGAGGTTCCGATCCGCGGTTCCTACTATTACATCAAAATAAAAAGAAAATTACATACAATTGAAATCTAAAAGTTACAAAATTCCTATCTAAATGCCATCTGGAGTCTTGTCTTGATTATTGACTTACTTCTCCCATTGACTTTAGACTGAAACTTGATGCTCTTAATGCAATAGACTATGAAATATTCTCGCAGGCTTGTTTATTGATCAGATGATAGGAAGATGGATCTTGACCCTATGTCTCTGCATGCATTACGTCAGAGCTTGTTGCGGCTGATATTGAGCTCAAACGTTCTACTTTCTCTGGAAAAAACTGAAATCTTATTTTTGCACATCCAATCCATGCTTTGCAGAAAAACCTACAAGCCCTCACTAACAAACAAAACGAACAAAAAACGTTTGCCCCAATTTGCACTAGGAAATTTTTGTGAGTTATTGAAAAGACAATAAACTATCTTTGCTATTGCGAAATGAAGAATTGAAAGAGAAATGGACTCTTTTTTCTTTTTCTTTTTGATAATAGGGGATGTCTTACCCTATGTTTGCAACAAAAAATGCAACCAGGGGATGTAGTACCATATGTTGGGAATGAGGTGAGGCTCTTGGCTCTCTAAGATTCTACTAGGGAATGTCGTACCCTATGTAGGCATAAAATATGCGACCAGGGGATGTTGTACACTGTGTTGGCAATAAGATGAGGCTCGTGTCACTTTGGGAGGATACTAGGGAATGTCGTACCCTATGTTGCATAAAATGAGGCTTGTGTCGCTTTGAGATGCTATTCGAGAATGTTGTACCCTATGTTGGCAATAAAATGAAACCAGGGATGCAGTACCTTGTGTTGGCAATGAGGCAAGACTCTTGGCTCTCTAAGATTCTACTAGGGAATGTCGTACCCTATATAGGCAGAATGTAATGCGATTAGGCGATGTAGTACCCTGTGTTGGCAATACGATGAGGCTCGTGGCACTCTAGGATGCTACTAGGGAATGTTGTACCCTATGTTTGCAACAAAACATGCAACCAGGGAATGTAGTACCCTGTGTTGGCAATAAGGTGAGGCTCTTGGCACTATGGGATACTACTAGGGAATGTCGTACCCTATATAGGCAGAATGCAATGCGATTAGGCGATGTAGTACCCTGTGTTGGCAATAAGGTGAGGCTCTTGGCACTATGGGATACTACTAGGGAATGTCGTACCCTATGTTTGCAATAAAATAAGGATCTTTGCTCTCTAAGATTCTACTAGGGAATATCGTACCCTATGTAGGCAGAAAGTAATGTAACCAAGGGATGTAGTATCCTGTATTGAAGATAGTTTGTTGATACCCTATAATGAAATTAAAAATAACATGATTACATGCATATTGGAAAGAAATCATGGATTTAAGAACTTCATTTGGTGGTGTTCATCTTTCCATGAACCGTTTCCTAAAATTGTTCTGTTCCTGTTCTGAACAAAGAAAGATTCGTTAGTTTTAAAATGGTGGTCAATTTGTGGCCTTGATTATTTCAATGTCTTGATCTCGACACATCTTCTTTAATGATTTCAATTGCAACTAATTATTTTTTGAATACCAACTGCATTTTTGACTCTGGAGAACCATTAGCTTTTCCAAACTTTGCCATGACGGTACTTACCCTTTTTCAACTTTATGTTGCCTTTGTGGGTATTTCGCTTTTGACTTCTTTCTTTAAAATTCTTCAATTTCAGAGCATTGGGAGACTTTTGGGTTTTCAAACTTTGCCAATGACTGTTATTCACGTGGGGCTTAACCTTTCAGCTTTATTTTGCCTTTGCTGGCGCTTCAATTTGATTTTCTTCTTCCAATGTTTTCAATTTCAAAGCATCGGCCAATCATGGTCAGTCGGGGTCGACTTGATACCCTTGCCGAGGCTGGGTGCCTTCTTGAACATTGGCTCATGTCAAACAAAAGCCCATTAAATCAATCTTTCCATCCCTTTTTTGTCTTAGTTTCAAAACAGAATTAGACCGAAAGGGATTCAAAGATAAACAAACAATGAAATAGATAAATGAACTTAGATGAGAGGTATCCCTTTCGGGGAAAGGAAAGAAGGACTTATCTGGAGTACATGGAGACTTTAATGAACATGACATGCCTCTTGGAATGGATGCCTGATCTGTGTAAACCGTCCAACTCTCATAAATTCATCACAACTCATGTATTCAAACCAAGAAACCTTGCCAGGGTTCTATTGATGTCGAACGGTCGTGAGGATCCTCTTTTCGATCAGTGGCGCCCTTTATGGATTTTCACCAGCTAACCTCTCTCGTTTCTCTTCTCACAGTCGCCTTGTAGTGCTCTTTGCGACTTTTCACTAACAAGACTCTCTTATTTCAATTTCTATGCTTACCATCGCCTTACGGTGCCCGGGAGGGTTTTCACCAATAAGACTCTCTCATTTTATTTCTCTTATTTTGATTGTATGAGATCCAAACTATTGTATCCTCTAATTCTTTAAACATTCTCGCTGATTGATCCGAAGGACTTGAAAAGGATTTGGGCAAAAAGAATTTGGACTGAATTATAACTTTGGAACCTTTCAAGCAAAACCATTGCCGAAACATTATAATATCTACCTCAGTTTCACTTTTTGAGGAATTTGGATTTTTATTTTAGTGTGACTGAACCTCAGAGAGAGGATGCCTATGTTTCCTTTCGGAATCAAGTCGAACGTAGTTCAGGGAACTCTATTTTTTTGTTTTTTTTTCATTTTTGTTTTTTTTCTTTTTCTTTCTTTTCTTTGTCATTTTTAATAATAACTTCCAGATTCCAAAGAGGGTAATCAAAGAGAGGGAACCGAATCAAAGGGTTTGCAAAAGGGTTAATGGTATTTGGGTAGTGAGAAAGAAAGCCTCCGTCATACCAATCAGAGAATGTTAACACCAAGTAATGAGACATAGTAACTTTTGACTGTATCTGTATTAACTGTTGTCTCGGGGACATTTCATTTGATGTTTCCCAAATACAATGGACCTTTGCAATTTGGAGCAAATTTTTCCTTTGCTTTTTCATGGTACGGGAGAATATATCTTAGGACGAGTTGCCCCACTTCAAATTTCTTGGGACGTACTTTCTTGTTGTAAGCATGGGCCATTCTTTATTGTACAAATGCCCATGGTAGACTCCGACCAATCATTTTTTGTCAATCAAAGATAATGTTTCAATCGGGTCTTGATTCAATCTTCATCATCGATCTTTGCTTCAACAATGATCGAAAGAGAGGGAATCTCATTTTCGTTCCAATTTTGTTTATTTTCTTGCCTTATCTTCAACAAATTATGCTTCTTGGTTCATTACTTTAAAGTCTAACAGCATCTTAGGATCTAGGCATGAAGTCCGCAAGCATGTCATGTTATTGAAATCTGCATCAACACAACTGAAAAAAGAATAAGAAAGGGACAAGATTAAGAAAAGAGACATTCATGGAAGATGAAATATTGATTTCATTTCTTTGCATTTTAAGATAGAAGGGTTTATATCAGAAAGTAAGACAATAAAGTAAAACATCTGGATTACATCCTAAAATAATCCGGACGCAGAAAGGACAGCAAGACCGACTACGAGATTCCAATCTGACGGAAAACTTTTCATGGCTTGGAGACTATTTTAAGTTTCTCTTCTATCGCGGAAATGGATACAATAGCTTTCAGTGTCGGATCAAGATCCCTATTATCATAGATCATTCCAGCGACTGGCCCATTGTTGTGAGTAGGCAAGTGATTGTTTGTCACATTAGGGGCCTCTTCTTCCACATAAACTATTGCCTTGACCTCAATGAGGTCATCCACTGCTCTTCTGAGAGTCCAATAGTCCTAAGTAACATGTTCGATTGCTCCAGAATGTTATTCACACCTAGCATCAGCTTGGTGCGAGGGGGACTTGGGGTTTGGCCTGTTCGGGGCCACTAGCTGCAGCAAACCTAGCCTGGTTAGCTTTTGGAACAAATTTGAATACGATTCATCGATAGGGGTGAGTTGATTCCTTATGGGAGGCTCTCTTAGGCGGGGAATGTATTGGGGAATATTTTGTTGGGGATTACATGGAGCTTGGTAGGGCCGAGCATTTTTGGGAGGTAAAGCTCGGCTTTAGGTATGATTTTGTGGTCGTGTATAAGGTTGTGCGTTCATCCCTGCATCGTGAGGCGGTGCCGTGGAATATACAACATCATGATGTAGGTACTAATGTTGCGAAGTTTTGGGTAGCATATATGATTGGCTGAATGACCCACAGGCCTCCCTCGAGTTTGAAGCCATCATGGCTCCCTCTCCTCTCTTGTTTCTATTTGTCAACCCCCCAACCAATTTTGGATGCCCTGCGATGTGGCTTTGAAGGCGGCCTGACTCAATATTCTTCCTATCTTTATGCCATTC